TATCTAAATAAATTCATATTTAAATTTTAGAAAATTTAAAATTAGGGTTATTAATTAATGCAAGTCTTAAGTTTTTCTTTCTATAAAAACAATAAATAAAAATATTTACAAATCCTATAATTGATTCCTAGTTCTTTTATTTTTCACTGAAGAAAGCAAAAACTAAATAAAAATAAAATATGCACTCTTAAATCAGGATTAATTTAATGTGTTGAATTACCTATAAATTGTTCTTTTGTCATTTCCCACAAGTATATAAATAAACAAATTTTAATTGGTTTTTTTATATTTTCATCAAATCAACTAAAATTCATTTTTAATTTAACAACACATTTTAGTTTTAAACATATTTAGAATTCTTTTTCAAACTGTTCTCTCAAATCAATTAATTTCAGCTTCACCTTTGAAATCGCCTTAATTTAAAGAATACTAATTATTGAAAGAAGAAGATTTGTGTGTTTGATAAATAGACTTAACATTTGGAATGCTTTTTTGAGAAAAAATTTTAATGCTTATTGATACTTTGATATGACAAAATAATAAAAAAATTAAATAATATTAAAAGTTACGGTGAGAAAATTTATTATAAAAAACACCATTTTATTTACTTCAAACAAGTGACTCACACATTATAAGATATATATACAGAACTCAAATTGGAATCTAATATATTTCGATTGTAAGGATTATTAATCTTCAACAATAACCAAAGCAATATACTTCATTAGTAATAATAATATATAACTTACAATAAAGATGAAAATAGTTACTTTTTAATATGAAGATGCTTAGGATTTTTGTGGAATGTATATATGGGATACCCAAACTTAAACAATTAGAATTATGATATAATCAGTAACAAAAGTTTTTCATCATCAAATACTCAAAAAATGTTTTTTTTGAGGGAAAAATATTACTTTATAGGGAAATATAGATTTATTTTCTTAATTGTATTTTCTTCTTAAGATAAATTGAAGTTTTTAGTATTAAAATAAATTAATCTGTGTCATTAAAGATGTTTTTGATTATTTATTACACAAAGAATGAAGAATTGATAACTGAACTAATTGAACATATTTATATGTAATTGCTCAAACAATAATCTAAATAGAACAAACCAAGCCTAAATAAAAATTTAACTCTAAAAGCTCAGTTAGGTTTGTAATACTTAAGCTTTAAATAAATTGTTAATTTAAAATTATTTATTCTTAGGGTATTTATAAACATAAAATTATTTTGCATTTTTATTAAAATTAATAATAATGGAATAGATTCATTTAAATTAAAAAAAGGTTCTTTTATTTCTTAAAAACTCACATAATGACAAATAAGAAGATGTTTTATAAAAAAAACTGTACAATTAATGTAAATATATAAAATTATAGAACCTAAATTGATTATCCGAAAAACTATTTATTAATTGATGTTATTGGATGGAAACATCATTATCCTTGTTATAATGATGGTTAATAGGTGATTCACACAACATTTCAAGTGAAAATTACAAAAGAAAAATAAATAACTTATATTTAGGATGGATAAATTCTTAAGTAAAAATTTCTATTTATAACAAATCAATAGGATGGATAAATTTAGTCAAAAGGAAAATATTAACTTATATTTAAATTTAGATTAAATATAGTACTTTTAGTGGAAACTTTCAAATGGAAATGAGAATCGTTCAATTGTAAAATGGATCGGATGGTGGAATGGTAGATTTACAAATTTTGGAGGGAATTGTGATGTATTTGGTTACAAAATTGGAGAATGGATTGAACCATGTGATACCTATTGTAGGTAAATTTATTTTATTTAAATGTAGTCAATATTAAATAACGCTTTCTGGAACGTATGGATAAAAAGGTTAAAGAACTGGCTAATGGATCTATTGGTATGAATAAGAGAGAATGTAATTCCCTTTGAAATTTTTAGAGGTGGGGGTCATTATGATGATAATGGAAGAAAAACTGGGGAATGGTGCGAAATTCAAAGAACCTAAGATCAACAGTAAGTAATTAAGAATAATTAAGTAATAAAGTGATCATAATTGGTGAGTATAATAAGGGTTTGAAAAAAGGAAAATGGTCATATTTGGAGAACAATCATATAATGTATATATTTTAATTTATATCATAAGTGGAGAGGGATTTTATAATGAAAATGGTCAAAAAATAGGGAAATGGACTGAAGTATCCGAAAGTTTCTTATCGTAAAATTACAATAAATCTGATTTATTAATTAGTTTTATGTAAATAATGTTTGATGGCGAATACAGAAATGGTTTAAGAATTGGAAAATGGTTAACATTTTATTTTACAAAAACTGTTAGTTATTAATACATAAAATAAAATTAAAATGTTATGTATAATTTTTTTTAGACATTTATTAGAGGAGGTGGATTTTATAATCAATTTGGTTTAAAAGAAGGGTATTGGGTTGAATTTTTTGAGGGTGGATATAAATAGTATTTTTTTCACTTTAATTCTAGTCGTGCTTCATTTAGAATTGCTGGTGAATATAAAAATGGTTTAAAAATTGGGTATTGGGGGATCATATAGTTTAAGGATGACTAACAAAATATTGTGTAAATATTTAAATTGAAAATTTAATTTAAATAGAGGAGGAGGCCATTATGACGAGAAAGGAAAGAAATTTGGCAAATGGATTGAAATTACAGAAAACGGCAATTTTAGTTTGATATCTTAAGTGGGAGTATACAAATAAGGAGTGAAATTTGGATAATGGGATACCTATTTTCTATAAAGAAATATAAAAATGTTAAAATAAATATTTAGCTTAGTGGGGGAGGCTATTATAATGAATAAGGTTTAAAATCTGGATATTGGATAGAATAACATGATTATAATGATGAATATAAAATGTAAATATTAGAAGATTTAACATTAGAATAACCCATAGTGGAAAATATAATGAGGGTAAAAAAAATGGTTATTGGAATACTACAAAAAATGATGATGAGTAGATTGAGAAAATGTAAGATGAAAATATTATAAACTTTTAAAGCCGAGGTGGATTCTACAACATTTAAGGATAAAAAATAGGATAATGGATTGATTTAATAAAGGAAAATAATAATGAACTAAGTTATGTAACTATGTATAATTAGTCTTAATATATGGATGTTATAAAAATGGCGAAAAGAATGGCTAATTTGACACAGTTATTAAGTCAAAAAATTCAACTAAAATTCAGAAGATGTAATCATCAATATATATAAAAAGTGGAGGTGGTTATTATATTAAGGGTAATAAAGTTGGAAAATGGATTGAAATTAATGAAACTTATAGTTCTTTCAATTGGAATAGTTTAGATTAAATTCATGTTGGAAGTTATAGTGTAGGAACTAATATAGGAATATGGGAAACATAAAGAAATTATTTAAAAGCTCATTAAATTGTGTATTTTATTTATAGTAAACTTTAAGGGGTTTTGGATATTATGATAATTTTGGGATTAAAGAAGGAAAATGGATAGAACCTAGTAGATTTTCTTATCTGTATTTTAAGTCATATATAAAAATAGCATAAAATTAGTTTATATTGGGTAATATAGTAAGGGTATAAAAATTGGAAGATGGCAATTCCAGTTTCAACATTCTAATGAGGAAATTATCATAATGTAAGAAAATAGTTAAAACGTTTTAGGGACTCTGGGGATTATGAAGATGGTATTAAAAATGGAAAATGGATTGAAATCTCACCAAATTTTGCTACTGGGCGATAAATTACGCATCAAGTATATTACAAAAATGGCACTAAAGTTGATATTTAGGAAGAGACGTTTGTGGGAAAAACTAGTTTATTGGATCTTTTATTTGATTGATATTGATATAATTATAAATATTGATTTAACCTAAATGTTTTTTTATCAAAAAATAAACATGTTAATAAATCAGTCATTTTGCATGTTGGCTTACTAAAGTACAGGAATATCTCCAAAAAATAGAAGAAGATCAAATTATATAATTTTCAGATGTAGCAATATCTTAATTTCTTAGAAATTTAAAAATATTAATATAATAAATTATCTTATGAAACATTAGATTAATTTTTCTTTAAGATTCATATAGATCTTCTAAGGAAAGATATTTGGATCAAATAGTCAGTAATATTATAGACCCTTCCGTATGTCTAATTACTTATTGTTATGGATATGTCTTAGTATGATGTTAATAATGTATATGAGAAATGACATTAATTTTCAGGTATTTATGGTATGGTCATAAAAAAAAATATGCAAACTACAGAGTTAATTCTACCAACTAGCATGCTATTTAATAAATTAAGTCCAGCATTTAAAGTAAGATATAATGTATATTGAAGAAAGAGTTTGTACATTAGTTTGAAAGTAGTCAAAGTTGTTTCATTTTGGAAAACACCATTAAATTTTGAAAGCTGATAGTGGATTTGATTTAAATTTATAAATAACTGTTTTTTATTTTAAAAAATTATCCTTATGATTAAAACTAAAAAGAATTGTATAAAATCTTTATAGTTCTTCAGAGATAGAACAAACAAGCAGTTATTTCAGAAGAATTCTCACACTTCGTAAAGAATTATTGATACAACCAAGGCATTTACAAAGAAAGAGTCATGCTTCAACAAGTAATTTTTTAGTAATATCTTAACAAAAATCAGATTAATGAAAATTTCCCATTTTTTTGCGTCAAGGTTGTTAGATTTATATGATAATTTTATTGATTTAAATTTGAGATAATCATATTATGGAATTTAGATAATACTGCACTGTATATTAAATCTTAAGGCAATGTTATATCATATAATGGATTGAAGAATATGATTAAATCATCGAGATTGTAATCACCAGTGCTATCATTAAATTTCACTTTATTGTAGGATAAAGTTCCGATTAATCCTTGTACTGCTTCTTCACTGGTAGTGTTGATTATTGTAGAAGTTAGAGAGTACAAATAGTTCCAGCTAACTTTTTCTCTTGAGAGTTATATTTATTAAGAGCGATAATATGAAATGTTAGATTATAAGGAATATACTTCGATTGAGATAAATCAAAGAATTTGTAAGAAAATATTTATCTACCAGAAGGAAATGTTAAATATTTTACTCTTTTAAATGCCCTAAATATCTTATAGGGAGTGATTACTACTTTCTCAATAATTATAATTGAACTTTATTTTACTTAAATTTTATTTAAAAAGGTCTATCCTCCATCTATAGATATTGTCAAAGATCTTGGATTCTCAAAAACATCAGATCCATAAAGTGTTGAATTATTATTAGATAATAATACATCTAATTGAATTGTCTCCTATTGTTATCCACATTAACTATTAACAATTTTAATGTTATTAAAAAGAATGTTTTCAATTTATGATTACATTATACGCTTTATTCTTAGGATGCCATATTCACAAGACCCACATATAATAAAGTCAAAATTTAATCCTTCAACTTGTAAACTATGAATTGAATTCAAGTTATCGATTTCAAACAAACTAAAACTATAGTTTGCTTATTAATAAACATCAATTTCATTACAAAGTTATTGTTATTATTCATATTAAAGAGAGGTATCATAATCATCCGTAATCGAATTTTCCTATGGGATACCTGCTCGACATGTTAAATAGTCAAGTGTTGGATACGTTGAAATTTAACACTTCAAAACCGAATAATTAGTATGCTATTGAACATTTATTGCATTGATATTGATTAACGTAATATTTCCATTAATCTCTATCTAATATTTATAAATTATAACTTTATTTTAAACTTAATCTAATCAGAGGAGAATATAAGATTGTTGAATTTAAAATGAAAATATCTTTTATCAAAATATTTGTTGCAAATTCAATATCTATCAAAAATTAAATATGGGTTGAAATGAAACTGCAATTTTCTATTGATACAAATCCAAATTTGATTTTAATAAAAGGATTGTTGTTTCTAATAACATCTATATCACTTTTAGTAGGTGATTCTAACAGTGACAAAAATTTAATGAAAATAACTTTTGTCACTTGAAATTGTATTCCACTAAATGTAACTTTCGAATTCAGGCTTTAAAGACTTGATAATAAATCTGAGAAGAAGCCATATTAGATGGAGAAGCAATTTCTTATAGTTAAATTTTGTAGATTAACATAGTTAAATTATTATGAAGTTACAACATAAATGCCTCCTCCTTAAATTCTGCTAAACGAGTTTTCTATAGTTGTTTAATATATGGTAAGATTTAAATTAGCTTAACAGAGTGCACATCCAATATAGAACTACTCTTAACTTGATTGGAGGATTGAATAATTTAGATCAAGAGGAGTATAAGCAATTCCATTCTTAACATAATATAAATAATAGTAAACACAACTTGAGATACAGCAAGGTTGGTAATTATGACTATCAAAAGTTTAAAAATATTTAGGAGGAGTTTCACAGTATTGACAAATGCCATTTGAATCAAAACTAGAACAAATTTATCCACAAGATACAAAAAAGCACTTCATGATAGATATGTTCCAGTTGCACACTTCTTGCATAGTATTTTTTCAAATTATATAATACAATCTGTACATCCTGAACATTGTGTACATGAAAAATCTCCTTAAAGCATAACCAGAATTACAAGTTAGACAAATTAATTCTTCATGGCAAATTTGGCATCCTTTTGCACAAGAAAAACAATTATCATTTCTTTTAAAAAATCCTTCTTTACAAACAATAGAATCATAAAATCCCTATTTTAGAATTACTTCATATACTCCATTTATATTTTTTATTACAGAATAATATTCTTTATCTCTCTTAATAGAAGTTGTGCAATAAGTGATTAATTGCATATCACTGATGCTTCCTTCTAAATAATTTTTACTATATTTATCTCCTCCAATATAATAATATTTGATCTAATTGCTCCAATAGAAAATCTTCTACTTATCAATTAATGATGGTAAATATATCTTAAAAATTTGTTGGCCTTAATTATTATTTGTTCTAATTTCATATTAAATATAGTGCCACTTAATAAATAATTCCTAATATTACAGTACTTGTATATTTATTTAAAGTTGGAAAATTATATGAATAAGCATCCTTTTATTATATATATTGGATATTCAAATACCCTTGCAGTTCCAAAAGAATAACTCTCTCCCAAAAATTCTTAATTGGCACTTGATAGTTGAGATGTAGATCCTTAACACTCATATTCAATTTAACAATCCAAAAAAAACTATTCCAATCTTAAAATATATTTATTGATCCCCAACTGAAAACTGTTGACAATCTTCCCTTAAACTAGGTTAAGCTTAAATTCTCTCCCGATTAATTGATTATTTCATATTCCCCTCTTATTTAATGTCTAATCCCTTTAACAAGAGCTGGTATGCCATTTACTCTCTATACTTTTGTTTTAATTGTCTATTTCAATATATAGAATCATATAATGGTTGATTCTGATTATAGATTAAAATAGAAATAAAATAAAATCCATTCTCCTTCATAGTTTTCAGGTTCAAAATCAAATTGTAAAGTATCAATATTTTTTTTAAAGGAATAAATACATTATCATTAATGGTTTATGTTGAATCAGAAACAGTTATATATAAAGCCAACAAATTGAAATTTATTTCTTTTTATTATAGTAAATATATGAACTACCCTGATGATGTTGAATTCATACATAAATGGCCTAATCTACTAATTATACATTACTTATATCTTAAATTTGGATGAAAGGTTAATATTTAAACCATAAACCATATCATTACATCCACTACAATTAAGTATTATTTTTATAATATATTTATTAACATATTAAATTTTAGATACTAGATAATGAGGCTCACGAGTTTGGAAAATTGAAATGAGATCTTAAGTTATTCAAAAAATATTGATTATCGCTTTGTTTTTTAAAAACAGGAAAAAAAAACTATAAAATTATTGTTAACCCAGTATTTTAAACTCAAATTTTAAATATAAAAGTAATCAGAAAATTGTTTTATTTTTGTGTCAAATTAGGTTCAATTTTTATTTAAAAAAGAATTTCTGAATTTCTGATGTGAATTTAGAGATCCACCATCATATTCAATTAGAATCATGTTGAAGTACTTATTAATTTAAAAATTAGGAATTAGTACGATATATATAATTATAAAAAGTTGGAATTTCAGGTAAAAATTTTGATTTTATTTGGATGGTTATAACAAGTGCAAATTCAAATTAGTACCTTTCTAGCCTTTATAAATTCAAAATTCCATTATAGCTAATTTATTAACTCAATAGATGTTTAAATAAATAATTAAAATATACTATTCTCAAAGGGAGAATATACATTAATATAAATAACTAAATTGTTCCCAAAAGGTGTAGAATAGAGTTTTAATGAGCAGGAAATTAATTAAACTGAAAAGTTTAAATTAATAAAAAATGATTCTTTAGAAATATGAGATTAAAAAGAGGTAATGATTCAGATCTAAATAATATTTTGGAATGGTAATCTATTAAGAATTTATAATATTATATCAACATTCAGATAAAAAGCTTTGGCTAGTTTAATAGTCTTTCATTTCAAGGACTTAATTCATTTTTAATAGTCTTTCATGTCAAGTACTTAATTCATTTTTTATTCACACAAGTGAAGAAAATTTTGCAGCACCCGTATTTTTTTTTATTTCCTTTAAAAATATTAAATTATTCAGGTTTTCTAGAGAAATAAATTGAATTCTATCCGCACATTTAATAAAAAATCTAGTAAAATCAAAAGAATAAGTTTGATTCAAGATAATCTTTCTTATTTTTTCCTTTTTTTGTTTTTTTTATAATAGTAGTTTGTTTTCCATAATTCTAAAATTTTTTCTATTTAACTTTTGTCCAATTTTAATTCCTAACCAAAAAGTCTAAATTATAATTGATAAAAACTCTAAAATTTTAAGTAATGTATTGATAGATTTTTTTAACTACTTTTTCCCTCATCATCTATAAATTTACATTCTATATGACTTAATTGCATATAATTTGAATTTAAATCAAAATAGTTTAGATAAGAGCAGATTTATTAGAGAAATTTATGTAAATATTGATAATTTAAACAGATTAGGTTGAAATGCAATAGGGATTACTAAATTATAAAGATTTACTTAAGCTAGTTTAAAAGTTGAATTT